CATCCCCTCCTCCCTCTCTTCGACGTCCTCATGGAGTCTGCCATGCCAATAGTCCAAGCATTGCAGCTGCTACTGTTGCGTTACTGTAGGTGACACGCGTACAGGCCAACATAATTGATTTCTTTGCAAAAGTAGGTAAAACTTAATAAAAAAAAAGCTTTGTCTTAACTGTTCAATCTAAACATTAGTTTTTTGTCTTATCAACGTTTTTGATTTTGAACTACAATGTAGAAGACAGAGAACCAGAATCGTCCGTATAGTGCAAGGCATCAAAAGGCCGCCATGTTTTAAAACAATCGGCCTTTACCTACTAGTGAAGGCATTCCACTTCCATCTACTCACTCCGCGTTTCCTTTAAACGTATCGTGCTTTGTTGTGTGCATGCCGTTCGATTTGCGATCATTTTGTATTTGGTAAAATTGCTGCTTACTAACGTCCAGAAACGGGCCTGCTTTACCCCCTTCCACCCTTACCCCGCTAAACTTACAGTGAATATCACGACTTTGGGTGCATTCCTTGGGATGATCCAGATCAGGATCAAGGAACCGATGAATCCACGCTGGCGAAGGATTCATCGATTTGTTTGATGCACTATGTTCTAATCCGGGTGATCCTAAAGAATCGCATCCTTTCCCCCGTTTAAGTTTAGCTGTCACGGGGTTATCATGTGCGACTTTTTGTGGAGTGGTTGAGTCGCTTGGCAAATGGCCTACTTAACAGTTGTGATTTACATAAGACCCCGACGTAGCCATACACGTGGCAAAGATGATATAATATTCGGTGCCTACTCTCAAGAGCTGCATGCCATTTACATGCCCAACTGAGCAGCTCTGTGAAGGTGTCGGACAATTATTAATCATGTGTATATGGATCACTGTTATTCTGCTTTGTACTGCGTCTTATCCGTCTAATGCAGCCAAAATACTCGGCGTGTTGATGACAGAATCGAAGAGTCGTTACTCAAACCTCAGAAATGTGGCAGATGAATTAGCATCACGAGGACATGAGGTTTGTGAACTTACTTACTGAGATTGTGCATTGAGTATCCATGATCTGAATGGATAAGCTTCATCATGGTGTACAGCCTAGCACCTGTACAAGATGTATGATTGAATATTACGTTTTGTTGTTTTGCTGTCACATCCAGATTTATAAAATATTTGGTAACAGTTGAGTAGGTTGTTTGTATGCAAGGCTATTTTTGACCATGTGGCAATTTTTCGCATAATTTTATAGAAAATCATCCAACCATTAAGTGGCTTTCTCAATTAGTATCTATCAAAACTAATATGTGACAACAATGATGTTTTTCTAAGGAGTCCTTGAGTACGATTCATGGCTGATTAAAGTAGTGATGTTTTTAAGTTCTGCCTCAAAGTTGCACTAGTCTGCTTTGCACTTAACATCACAAGCTATGGATATTTCCGCGAGCTGACAGGATTAACTTAGTCCTGCGCTGTGATTGGGTACACGCGCGGACCATAAGAACTATCCTGTCCATTCGGGTTTCCCCGAGAAGTTTCCCTCGTTGGTTGTTGTTAACCTCATGCAATGACCCTTTACCGACTAAGTCTACTCAGTGAAGGTTACATATTGTCCTCTTTCTTTCTTGCGTGTTTATGGACCTCCACTGTGTCACGGTTCATAAACATAAAAGAGCTCTTGGCCACCATCAGCCATCTTGATCATAACCCATACTCAAACACGAAATGTAACAGAAGGTTGCGTGAACTTCAATCTAAAGAGGTAACAGGAAATGCAAAAATAAATAAATAAATAAATAAATAAATAAATAAATAAATAGATGATTAAAAGAGGCGACTGAAAGAATGAAGGGAAACTGTGGAGCTCGGTAGGTAAAGTCAGTTGCGTTTCTCTTTTGAAAAGAATTCACACGCGTGGTATGGCATGGCATCAGTTATTTTTTGACTAGAAATTTAGATTAAACTTTTAGTCAATAAGTTTTGTTTTTTCTTTCTTTCTATATCTTCAGATCACTTTAGTTGTTCCATCCATCTTACCATTTCCAGCGTCGCACACAGTGAGGCATTCCGTCTACACCTACCCTTTCGAAGAGGATCATCTGGAAAAAACTATAGTACCAAAATCTCATAATCGACCTCTTTGGGAAATTTTCCAGGATAATAAAATGTGGATAGATAACTTTATCATGCCATGCAGAGCTTTGATTATTCACGTTAAGCTACACAGGAAAGAACTGAGAAATTTCAATCTAATGTTTTGTGATTCCCCTCCAGAATGTGGAGCTATCGTCTCCGAGATACTGGGACTCCCAAGAATCGATTTAAAATTGGCAGGCGCGATGAGATTTTTCAAAGATATAAGCGTGGTTTCATACATTCCTGATATTCTGTCGTGGAACACTGATAAAATGAGCTTTGTAGAGCGGGTTGCAAACTTGTTGTATCACGTGCTAATGTCTGTTACAATAATGTACAATTATGCTCTCTGTGACGGACTTCGGAGAGAATTCGATGTACAAGAGGAGAGATCTTTCCAGGACTCTATTAACAAGGTGGAGATGGTTATAATCATGGGTCACTTTGCATTGGAATATCCTCAACCAATTTTACCAGGTACGAGATAATAGTGAGGCCGGATAGAAGCCCAGACTGGAAACTGCTCCTCAAAGCGGTTTTCCACAAAACAACTCAAACGGTTGATCGTAACATAATACGGCCTAAACCATGCAAAACTGTAATTTTAGCAAGTGCTGTTTGAGGGCAGGGTGTTTCGTAGAGGGCCGCAAGGCCCCTCAAAGATTCAGAACGATGATAATTAATCTTCAATAACTGAGGAAGTCTATATCACAAAGTGTTTCACAGAAGGGTCTTCAATTGACAAAATATCACATAAAAATGAAAACAATTAAGGAAAATTACTACGAACTTACGAAAACCTCAGATCTAAAATTGACCAAAAGTAGCTATTAACAGGTGGGGCATGTAATGCGTGTGTAGTCAAATACCATTTCTTGAGTGATTGGATTTGATATTCTTATAGTAATTCAAATTCTCCCCTGGCCCAAGCTGGCTGGCTCACTTCAAGCGGCTTTTATGGTTAGACCAGGAATTACCTAACTCACTTTTTTCTCAATTACATCAGCTCCGTGAGTGGCTGCCCATTGTTTCCGTGTTTTACGTAATGATTACATTTGAAACTATAGTTTAAGTTTACCTCCTGTTTTAAGCACAGCCACCAAACTAGTGGGACCGTTAACAGTGAAACCCCCAAGTCCACTTCCACAAGACCTGCAGCAGTTTATCAGTGGAGCAGGAGACAAAGGGATAATACTGTTTTCATTAGGAACACTCGGGGATGCAGTAATGACGAAAGACCAGGTGGACATGTTGGCCGAAATATTCGGAAGACTGGAGCAGGGAATAATATGGAGATTAAACGGTAAGTTAAGGTATAAGGTGTTAACTCATCTAGGGAGAGAAATAAGGAGCATTATAACTGTTAGTGTGCGGTCTCATAACGCAAAATCATGTATGTTAAACTTGGCGTGCGCTTTTGCCGAGATTGTCCTCGGTCACTATCAATGGGTCTGCCATAAAGCGCGTTACTGAGTTAAAATATATTGGTGTTATCTTTGATGAACACCTCAGCTGGAGCGAACATGTTAAAGCTATTGTTGGTTTCTAAGGCTGGTAGGCGG